AAAAGAACTTTGGAATAAGGGTTAGGGTTGGTATTTAACGCTAAACGGATTGTATGTACTGGCGGAGCTTGATGGTTTAAGCCACATTTATATTTACTATACTGTCTACTTCCGCTATCCCTTTGGTCGTAATAAAGTTCCTACAACAACGGTGGGAATTCGAAATATCTCAACAGTCACGGACGCTATGCTTATTGTAGATGGCTCAAAAGAAAAGAGGCCTCCCAGAACGCCCCCGTGCAGTCGAATCTTTGTTGGAAGAGCTTGGCGCACCTCTAGGTGAAAAAACCGGAAGAAAATATTGGTCCAAAAGGACCACAATATCGGCTGTTAGGACCCAGGGGATACCGAATGCCAAAAAAGTCACAAATTTGCTATAACGAACGGGTTTCGGTGATCCGAATCTAAATTTACAGACCTGCCTGGTATACTAAATAATCTACTCTATCGAACGGAAAACTTTGGAATATGTACGTTCGTATATCGGTGGACGACTGTACTAATTGTTTCACTACTACTGAACCTTGTATCATTAAGCGCTGAAGCCGCCCTACTAACCTTAAATACTTGTGCTATTTTCCCCTTTGTGTTAATATTCCTTGGCGCGACTAGAGTACATTCTGATGGAAAGCTGCTCACTCCTCTACGGTAACCTACCCCAGCTTTACTAGAGCAGGTAGGTAGGTGAGAATTCACCTACAAATATTCCTTGCCTGTAGCTTTAATGTCAACCTTTTGCTGGTGGAGGTCGGTGTATGTATACTTATAACATGTGCTCGCAACGTAGGGAAACGCTGTATTTAGAAGGCGTTTTCCTAGAGTAACAAGCGTAAGGGCGGTTACCGTATACGCTTCCGAAAAAAGGCTAGCCACAACTCTTACTTCGCGCCCACACTGATGCAAGTATCTATGTCTCGCCTTGCAGGTTTCATCGACGATCTGGCAAGAGATTACCGCCCACTTGGTTCGATTTCAAACGCAGCGACTATGTGAGGCGCCAATCACGTTGGATAACGATACGTTATCTTTTTGTGAAAATAGGCTCAAGGCGGCGCAAGACGGCGCTTGCTAACAACACTCGAAAGATATCGACATGGAGCTGGAAAAGATATAGATAATGTCAGCGTCCGCTCTTATGCCAGTCTTTATTTTTCACCCTTTAAAACCATCTTAGATTATACTAATGGATCTATTACCGGCTGCCACTGATGTCCAGGACTGCCGCCCACAGCACGAATGTTGGCGAGTGCAGAATATCCCAACCTCCTGGAGTTTAACCAAGTTCCTACAGATGCTACAAAAGAAAGACGAATCCCTCATCAGCCTGGAAGAACAGTGCATCTCCCTCTATCCGTCCTACACGGGTAGCTCACAAACGGCGTTGCTGAGTATGAGGCCGTTGCCCCAGTACTTTCAAAAGCTGGATCCTGACGACTCACATGTCCTCATACTGGAGGACATGCCTGAGGCTGGGGGCAAGCGGGGGGATGTTTTCCTAAGTCTTGATTGCCACTTTCGCGGACTAACTCCTCTAAATGTCCCGGTTCGAAACAATCTAGTCGAGTGAGTATATATACATTGTTTCTCTCCGAAATGTTGTTTTGGTGGAGGAGGCTAATCAGAGAATCTGGGGTCTAGCATTGTAGCAGTAACAGGCCTCGGCGGACATGCCATTGAGTCGTGGCAAAGCCGGCAGAGCGACCAGATGTGGCTGAAAGACTTCCTCCCTTGCAGCATTCCCGAAAATATCCGTATCCTAACATACGGCTACAACTCCAGCCTTACCAAGCCGGGGAAGCGTTCAATGGTCGATTACCGGCGGGGTTTTGTCCAGGTCCTATCCAACGCGCAGTCAACAGCGGAGGTGAGTAGCTACATGTAGCTAGCTACATATTATAGCCCATCTTATAAAATATTTGCATTATTGTCGGGAGAGATCTGATATCGGCGGTCCGTACTTAGGAACGCGCAAGACCTCTGATTTTCATAGGGCATAGTCTAGGCTGCATTCTGATTGCTCAGGTAGGGGATCACGACAGTGTAAAATTTTTGGAATCTAGAGTCGTCTGACAGTAGACTAGGCGCTACTTCAGGCGCAGAACAACCACTCGGATTCCCATATTCTTGCCAGCACACGTGTTGCATTTCTTTTTGGCGCGCCGCATGGAGGACAAAAGGTGGATGACCTCGTCTCAATGGTTAAAGACTTCACCTCGTCATCGTGCTCTAGCCAGCAGTCCAGAAGACTCCGACTGCTCGAGCATCTCCGCGAGGACTCCGATTTTCTGGACGACCAGAGAGAGAGGTTGATCTCTATATGGGAACAGATGAAGATAGTCAGTTTTTATGAAAAACGAGATACCAAGACTGTTAAGAAGGTATAATTCATCCCACCTCCATAGGAAGGAGCTGGAATAGGCTGATATGTGCTTTATTTAGAATGAGGCTGGGGAGTGGGAGAGGACGGGAGAGGCAGCCCGCTTGGTCCAGGGTTTCTCATCATTATTGTACTTGAAGCAAGAGTCCCGGTACGCAATCGATGAGGACCATATCAATATGGTCAGGTTCGTGCTGCCCACGGATAAGCACTATGAGTGTGTGGTTCGTCATATACAGGAATGCGTGGAAAGCCACTGCAAGTCTCGGAAGTCACCACTCTCCCGACGGCGTGCAACTCGGGCTTACTAACACAATCATGTTCAACAGTCCAGGGTAAGATTGAGTAGCCGTAGCATCGCAGGATGAGCCTAATGCTGGAAGTTTAAGAAATAGGGCTAACGGGGAATTAGCCAACAAAGACTCTAAAGAATTGCTAGGCACCCTTGTTCCGTTTTCATACGAAAAGATCCGTCATGATACATTGAACCAAGCCCAGGGCGACAAATGTCAATTCCACTTTCAATCTGATGGATGCGGGACTAGTGCTGGGGAGCGATCGGCCTCAAAACCACTTTGGATTTCTGACGACCCTGGGAAAGGTAGCACTGTGTTGATGCCTTTTGTGACTAATGAATCTGTCAACCTCCGTCAGGAGCATGTCTGACGTGTATGCGTTTACTCACCCGCTTGGAAGAGAGAGCCGCTAAATTTCTTATATATAGGCCGTTGAGAGATGGAGTGGACTGTTGATGTGGATCAGGACCCCAATAGGCGCTGGGTAATTCCTCATTAGAGATACTTCCCGGTTTGGCTTTGTCCTGTCTGACTCGGGGTTTGTTGTGTTCTGGAAAAATGGAGGTCTCATGAGTTCAGCGAGAGTCGGTTGGGAGGCTAGCCGGAAGTTTGGTACTTACGTCTTGAACGGTCCCGTTCTGTAGTTGGTGTGTCTTTGACTTCCCGCGGTGCTAAATAGTTTATTTATAGGGTTATTTATTCAAACACCTATTCATTAATTACTGAGATAGACCTGATATCAAGATGTTATAGGTTGTTCCGGGGAAGGCTGTCTAGTATCAGCTTGGGTTGAAAGTAAGGTGGCTAGAATCTTTGACCCGTATTTATTCCAGAGATTTACAGTTACTGGTACGTACGTCGGCATGTATCAACCCGATTAAACCTCTCTAGTTCTGCTCGCACGAGCTGGTAGAGCTAGTAAGAGCCAAAAACGGCTAGGTGACCAGATATGTACCGAAGGCTTATACATTTTTTAATCGAAGTTGACACGTGCATACCAGCTGTACTCACTCTACAGGGTAAGAATGGATGGTTAAGTATGTCGTTTGGGGAAACTACTTGGCTATTTCCAAAGTTGTCCTTAGATCTTAGGTGCGATCTTTCAACTTTACGCTAGTGAAACATTATTCCTGGTCCTCCGGCTGCGAAGATACCTCTCCCTTCTCTGGGTTATTCTCGGCATCATCGCCATTATTACTATTACTACTATCACCCAGGAGATTGCCGCAAGGAATACGCATACCAACAAAGCTCTTACCTTACTCCTAGATAAGGTAGAAAGACCGTTGTGCAATGTCCTCACTGATCGTGTGCGGGTAGCCGCTGGATAGAACTAGCAGGGCGGAGGTGAGTGCACTCCTTTATCTGGTGAGTTTGGAGAACATTATTCCCAGCACAGAGTTAGAGGATACTCTTATGCCTGTGCCGGATAATTAAGACGCCACAACACTGTTCAAACACTTTCGAGAACGAGGTGCGGATATGAAGGTGACTGAGGAGCTGCTTCTCGTGGCAGTGAAAATTAAGATAGGTAGCTTGTTGGCTTTATTTGGAGCGAATCATTGTGGGAGGAGCTTCCGGTGATATATCGATAGTGGTCCCGGCTGTGGCGATAGCTAACAGTACATTCATCACTGAAGATATTTTACCCGCTGCAGCGAGTTCTTATTACCTATACGGATTGTGGGAGGCCTTGCCGGAGCGAGATGGATATCTTGGGTATGGTCACCCATGCCAATTTCACAGAGGCTCGTAGTTGCCGCCGCTGCCCGCTCCAAGTAAAAACAAGTGCTGAGGGTCTTGCTTCAGAAAGGCTCAACACCACCTCCGATCACAGAGAACGTCTATATAGCAGCGGCAAGAGGCGGAAGGGGGTCAGAAGCTCTGGAACTCCTGATTCGAATGTGTGCTGTTTGCATCACAGAGCAAGGTCTGGTGGCCGCAGCAGAGCTAGGGCTGGGCTGCTGTCGAAGACTTTCAATATCTCGCCGCACATAATGAATGCCTTTCCCTCATTGTTGTGACAGAGAGTCTCCTACTCGCGGTGGCTTCAAAGCCAGTGACGGAAGCGCCACTTAGATTCCTCTTGAACATCGACAACACAGCTCACCTCTCGGGAGCGGTCCTGTGTGCGGCGGTGGGAAGCTTGCTGAGCCTGGAGAAGCTTGGGGTACTTCTAGTAAGGACCACCGATGGGAGTATCATTATCGAGGCGGTTCTTACTGCAGCATCATCATACCCCTATGCCCGTGAAACATTGTAGTTACTGCTTAAATATGGCGGCGCTATGAATGGGGTTGTTATGACAGCGGCTGTGAAAAACTATCATGGCCACGGCGCTGTCGAGCTCTTGCGCGAGCAAGCACCTGATATTGAGGTTCCGCCTGCGATGCCTGTGCCTCTGTTTTCGTATGTCGATTCTTACAACGTGTGGATTTGACTATGCAATCTCTGGAATCGTCATTACTGCCGCGCCGGCTACGTACTCCGACTCGTATCTTGAACATCAAGGCGCTGGCACACCTCCTTTGGTGACACTTCTACCTTCATCGACAGTTATGGCTCCAGAAGCAAGGAATGAAAATGTAACGACTTTCGATCTACCACCTGTACCTTCAGCTCAATTCTATCCGAGCTTTGAGTTAACGCTATCAGAATATTTATCTTATCGTGAGTAGAGGCGTACAATGAAGCGACCGTCATCATGAGAAGGAGAGTAGTTTTATAAGCTTCCAGCTTCGATCGAAGCCATTCTACCTCAGGCTCATGAAAAACCCAGCTGATGCGCCTCCCCAATCGCCTGAGTAAGCTGTCGGCAGAATTGCTAATGGTTCTTGAGATTATGGTTCGCAAAAGTATGAAATCTCTCATAATATAATTTAAAACGTTAGATAGATCATCACTCGGAAATCTGGGGTTGTTCGGAAGGTCGTCGAGGTTGACGGCCGTTGAAGGTTTCCGAGAGCCACGCATAGTGCGTTGAGCTCGCTAACAAGCGATCTAATGTTTGAAGGGGCCGATCTCACCCGGGAGATTTCATCACAGACGAATGTGGAAAGCTGTGAGGCGAGAGTTATAAGGCCCGCTACGGAGGCCGCAAGGGAGAGAGGGTCGGCCATTTACAGTGGGTGGTTGCTATGTATATGGAGTAGGTATAGTGGGATAAGGAGAAAGTAAATTCAAGGTTAAACATATGTGTTAATATTGACCCCGCTCGTTCACATATGTCATGCGATGATTGGTCCACATCTCGTTACACGGTGGATACTTCATGCGCTCAACATGATTCGCCGCTCTCTTTAAAGAATTCCAGACCCTCGAGATCACCAGAAAAGATACATTCTTAGCGCTTACGCTTGACCATGCCTATAAGCTAGCTAGGTCTCGCCGCGCTGATATCGAACCACCCGGCGACACGAGTCGGACCAGCTTCTCGCATGGGTTAATATACATCAAGAGAAGAACCGAGCATTGAGCATGCCGTATCAGGTCCTGGTTTGTGTCCTGCGGAGGACAGGTGGGAAACCAAGAAGTTGGTAGACTAGGTAGGTAGTCAGATCGCGGTAAGAAGCGTTATCGGTATCACCCACTATCACTCGCGCGCGAGCGACCATCGAGTGATAGCTCATGATGGGAATCAACCACCGGTTTATTGATCCTTAAGCGGGGAAAGAATTACCTAAAGTAAGACCGAAAGTAGAAAGATTCACGAGATTTTGGGGAGATATTTTTGATAAATTCTGATGTTTATGAAACTCATAACACCCATTGTCACTCTGTAAAATTTGCTCGCCACAGTACCTGCTTTGTAGGCTAACACAAGTTCAACGTCGGAAGCATTTATGATGCTATCACTATATATTTGGTCCAGAATAATACATAGGTATGAAAAAGCGCACGGGTTATAACCCCAAATGCTCTGATATCTTCGAATTCACATTATCTCGTTCCCCTTTCCATCATACGCATCCTTCCTCCTTCTTCCTCAAATCATCTGCCTTCGGTGAGGGCGGATCAAAAGCCGTGTTCTCCCCCAGCGACTCCCTGATCTGCTTTATATCCGGGTCCTCCTTCGTCCACGACCCACCATCCTTATCCTGCGATTAGCACAGCCGCCTTAGTAACTTTCTCGTGCTCCTACAAATCCCATTCCGCCGATTATATTCGTCCATGCACCCCGAGAGGCACACCTTGAGCCAACGCGTCAAGCTCGTCAAGCTTCTTCTTCATGGGTGCGTCCTTGACCGTTGCACTCAGGGCACCGCTGTCCACGAGAAGATGCAGCGTCATCTCGAGGTCGATGAGGCTGTTGAAGATGTCTGTGCAGGCCCCCGCAGCTTCGACGAACATCTGAATCTTCTTGGTCGCGAAACGGCGGGGGCAAGGTCGTTGATGAATCTATTGCGCTCAGTTCACCCTCATCACCATACAGTCCTCTGGCGAGAGAGATAACTGCCAGATATTGACGCGGTGGTGCAGGAGCGCATACCTTTGCAGCTTCGCCATATGCTTATGCTTCTTCACGTGATCACGCCCTCATAGATCAGCAGCCCAATCTCAATGATAGCCGTGAGGGCTAGCGTCGCCAATGCCCAATCTTGAACAGGCACAGCCTGCCCTAGGTCCACCACCGAAGCCTCAACGCCCTCCGCGGCGGCAGCGGTGGCCTCGACTGCTGCCGCAGATGATGAAAACTGCGGCGTAAAATAACAGCATGCCGCCTTGGACAGTGCCTGGAGCTTTGTGGTGGTTGGTTAGTATCGGATTTGAGAGGTGGTTGGGGGAGGGGAGGGGGAGGGGGAGGGGGAGGGGGAGGGGGATATCTACCCTCAACGATCATGGAGACGCCCCACGCAAGGAACTTCTACGCGGTGATGAAGTAGTTCTTGACGAGGAACTTGATAAACATCCCGACTACACGCCACCTCTTGTCAGTCTTTCATATCCGCACCCTCACCAGCAAAATCCCCACAAAGACAATTGCAAGCAAGCCACACGCACATCCAACCGACCCAATGTTTCCAACGGTTCTTCAGTTTATCAGTTCAAACCAGTTTTCTAGAACCGTTCAAGAAAACAGTTCAGTTCAGTTTTGCCTAGTCACCATTTGGTTCAGTTCAGTTTCTGGCTTGGGGTAAACCGGTTTTCCATGCAGGTGGAACTCCTCATACAAAGTACGAACACCTTATCAAGACCAACCCTAACCCAGAACACTTTTAGTATAGAGTTCCTGCCAGCCTAGTGCCAAGATTTTAGAACCGTTCTGCAATATGAACCGGTTCTTATTCGGTCGGTTCAGTTGTCGCCTATTTTTATTCAGTTCAGTTCATTTCTGCTGAAAGTAAGAACCGGTTACAACCGTTGGAAACACTGAACCGACCCCGTAACGTTCAGCACCGAGCGGTTGACCGGCCCTCTCCACGGTATCCAGCGGCACCCCCACCGAAGATGAGCTTCTTCTGGATAGAGGTGTATTTGTCGCGCTGCTCCTTGATCAGCAGCTTCTCCGCGGCCTTGTTGTAGTCGTCGATGGAGGCATGGCCCTTGTCGTGCGCGTACCTCTCGAGGGCGAGCGGGCGGGCGGCTAGCTTTCATGCGGTTGTGGGATTCTTTGGAAGTACGCCATGTTGTTGGCGAGGTCTTTGACACGCGCAGCGCGGTTGCCTTTAACTCTTGTTCTCTGTCCCTTGTCTCTGTTCAGCCGAGATGAAGTTTTGTGTGAGCTGCTCTTTGCAATACACGACGCAATCCATCTGTCGCTCCTCAATGCACTCAACATACTTTCAGGCTGGAGCACCATCGCCTCTGGAGGGGCTAGGCGTCAATAAACACTTTGTTGGGGGAGGGATGGCAGTGTTGCTTCTTTTGAAAGACGCCCGAGACAATGACAAGATTGTTACTGTGGAGATTATCGCGGGACTCAATTAATCAATAGAGATAGCATCTTGCAGAGTTCAGCTGCGATATGCCGGTGATGTTGTCAACGGTCGGCAGTTCCGCTTTATGGCACTTTAGATGTCGACTTGAGGTTTCCAGCTGAGCTCTTGTTTCCCCAGTAAGAATCGACGTTGCACATATATACTGTACTGCTCTAGTACTTCTAGTAGAACGCGGCGGCGTGGCTAAAGCTGTAGTTATCCTGAATCGCCGCGTTCTACTCACTTACCCTTGAGATGGTAATCATGCTAACCACCCAACATCAAAATTCGGAAGTCGCGCTGTCGTAGGTATACGTACTATCACCACCGGAGAGAATCCATGCCTACGATTCTTTTGCTCCATCCCCTTGTGAAAACCCACAATACATGAGCAGCGGGGTGAAGAGGCGCTCAAATAACAAGATCGTTGCAGGGATTGAGACAGAGATGATGCAGTAGTGGAATCTGGGTCTCGGCATCCAGCCTCGTGAGGAAGCTCCAATAGGTGCTGGGCATGAATTATTGTTATATGAATTCAACCCTGAACCCCAACTATCACCTCCACATAGCTCTACCGCTGGTCTCTGCAAACCACTCGAGAGTGGGTTACTGCTTTTTTCTCTGGCGCCGTCTACGTCTGCACAATTCGGTCGGACCACGATCGCAGTCGCTCTCTGGTCGGTTAGCTCTAGTGCTAGCTATAATATCTATAGAACCGGGGTTGATCATGACATGAGAAACTGTCCTGCAGACAGGCTTAACGGCAGCTAGCGGCGATAACAAGTCCAGGTTTCAATGTGGCTTGTACGCTAGCTGATTGGGGGCGATGTTGTGATATCGAAGTCGTTGATACAGTATATGCCTACATTCTCAGCCGACCAAGAAATAACAGCCGTCACCGCCGAGGGGTAACAGTGTATACATCTAGCTCCCTAAAGACCGCTTCCACCGTCAAATTACAACGCCAAAGGCAACCAACCTCCCCCGCTTCCTGCTAGCCTGATTGATAATTCAACAGCGGGTGTGTCTCTCGCAAGCAGCGACTGATGTGATCGTAAATCAACACGATTCAACCTCCCCCCTCAATCCCACGAGCTCCTGTCAAATCACTCCTTTCGTGTCATCTCCATTGAGCATTGTGGGTAGCCCTCGACACCGCTAGTACGCTGTTCAAAAGGCCATAAAGGTTTTTAGGTGAGTGTTTTGGTGGTGTAGTGCACTGGGTATATAAGCTGATGGATGGAACATGCGCAGTGTGTAGGCGGAGGACGGGGGCGAGTGTTTTGGGGGGTTGGTGGCCATGGGGTTTGAGTACGCCGAGGGCAAAGGTGAGGTTGAGATAGGTATGGGTGGGTACATATTCCTTCGTGCGTTTTCACGACTGGGAGCTTTTCCTCGGTAGTACACCTAACCCCCCCCCCCCCCCTCCCGTGAAACTCTTTTGTTGTGAAGTCACCCTCTGTGATACCTCCGATACCTATTCTGGTGTCTCCATAATCTGTAGGTAGCTAGATTTTTTGAATATCACCACGCCGTCGCGGGCCTAATATGTCTCCGAATCTGCTCTGACGAACGAAGGGAGATGGGATTTGTTGTGGTGTTTGGTGCTTGGTAAGATTTCTCGTGCTTGCCAAGATTCACGCGTCTGCAATATGGCCGCTGATAGGTTCGAAGCTTCGTAGGACCTTAGTGCTTGATTTGTATGCTCGATTATTATGAAGAGAAACTCGCAGAATGGGTCGCAGAAGCTTTCCCCTCCACACGAGGGGCGCAATTATCGCTTCACCAGGGTGGCCGGAGGCTACAAGTGGGCATTGTAAATATCTACTCGTTTCTCGCGAAAAGGACCAGACAGCGCCGCTGCTCAGGGCAAGGATCACTTGTATGGAGTGGTGGTGATCTCTCACACTTACAAATTATCCCTGTCTCCGTCAGTGGTAAACGAGTAGGTGCCACTCATGAGATATCACTCGCATTATCCCTGTAATTATCGGTTCTGGACCGATGCCAAGCCCCTTGGCGCTGTGCGGCTCTACTATCTACTAACGCTAACCCCGCTCTTGGTCTAGAGATAAGGCGGCTGGCACAAGGAGACCCTGGCACCTATATGCTGGAGACTCGATATTGAGATCGATAGTGCGCGCGCGACTTTTCAGCTACCAGAGAGCATCGCGATATCCAACTGTCACGAACCATATCCTCTATCTCCTCCGCGATACGTTGATGGGTACGTCAGTTGCGTCGCGTTAACCTTCTATGACGCCTACTGCGGGCGAGGATTCATTGCCTGGGACTTAAGGGAGTAGGTAGCAGAATGCGAGCAATGCTGAAACGAGTGAGGACACAGTGAGTTTCCTGGCCCGGAATGTAAAGTGGAAGACTAATTATGTTGGACGTTGTGTTACAGTTAGTTTGGGGATGATTACTTGAGGGGCTACACTCTGGTTATAGCTCCTCTTATATTCGGTGTACTAGGGCTGCGACATGAGGGTGAAATGATCGACCACCCGACATTCAGACCTCCAGTATATATATACAAACCTCTATAGTCAAAAATCTAATACCTACCAATTCTAAGATTTCCGTTTTACGAATTCCGCGAACGAAAGATCTCCTTAGGATGCCAAACCTATCTCACCTTCCCCACCCCCATGTAGATACCGTAACCATGAACCTCTGGATCACCAGTGTAGTAAGATCTCCAGGAAAATATGACCCCCGACCACAAATTACTATCCCTTGGACTGCTGAGACATGCAGATTCACTACATTCCTAAATTGGTAAGTGAAGGCGTACAGCTGGCAACTGTTCTGTACCATCGCTATTGACGTTCAAGTTCTTCGGCAGCCTTTTGAAGATATTGATGTCAATGAGCGGGTTCCCAAAAAGGGTCGAACCAGCACTGCTGCCCGTGGTCAAAAAAGACCAAAAGCCGCCAGAAAGCCGCAAACTCCCAGAAAGCCGCAAGCTCCTAGGAAACCCCGGGCACCGAAGCAGTTGACTTCGGAGGAGGCTACAGTTGTAGAAAGCCTTCCTCTACCACCGGAGTTTGATTTTTTTGAGAGTCCACCTCCTCCACATAGTGCAAAACCATGTCTTCCTTCCTATATGCCGACAGATCCGAGTCCTCTCGAGCTGTTTCAGTTGTTCTTCTCCGTAGAGATATTAGAAGAAATAGTTAAAAATACAAATGAATATGCGGAAATTAAGAGAGGGGGTACACCAGGAAGGCCTTGGTTTGATTTGACGGTGCCGGAACTCAAAATCTTTATCGGAATTCAGATATATATGGGTGTTTACCGGTTTCCCGCAATTGATGACTACTGGAAGGAAGAGTGCAAACATCCGCCGATGGAAAAGCTTTCTCTTAATCCATATCAGCAGATTAAACCGTTTTTTCATATTTCGCCTTTCAAAGAAGAGCTAAGCAAACGGGACTGGTGGAAAAATCTAGAACCATTAGCTTCACATTTACGGGATCAGTTCCGGACCTCATATCTACCTGCATCGGATGTGGTATTTGACGAAATGATGGTACAATTTACTGGATGCAACAGTCATACAGTGAAAATGCCTAATAAGCTATTAGACGAAGGATATAAAGTTTACGCCCTTTGTGAGCATGGATACACATATTCATTCCTATTTTACTCAGGCGAGACCAAAAATGAGGACAGCGAGTTTACTCAACTTACAAATTCATTCGTATTTCTCAGCAAAGCTGAATCACTTTCTTTATTCAACTCGGATGGTCGTCCCCTTACCGATGTTGAGGAAAAGGCTCTATACAGCGGATTCTCACCTACAGCTCAAGCGGTCTACCATCTTGTCTTCCTTCTTCCTTATGAAAGCCACCGCTTCAACATATACAGTGGAGTCTCGATAATATAGCATATGGTCGGAAACGGATTTTCGTGTGCCACTATCGGGGATATGCTTGTATCGAGAACAAATTTGCCCGTACCGACTCGTTTGGGATTGCCCAAACATATGCTACTATCGAGGATATGCTATTATCGAGGTTGCTACTATCGGGACACCACTGTATATGGACAATTTCTTCACCAGCATACCTCTGTTCAGACATTTAAGAAACTATAGTATAGGCGCAGCTGGTACTAGACGGGCAAATAGGGCTGAATTCCCTAAGGAATTGGATATCAGCAAAGGTATCGAGTGCTGGATCTTGGAGTGGGACCAACTCAGTGCAGTGATTGTGAACGGGATCCGTTCAGTCTTATGGCAAGATAATAATCTTGTTCTTCTTCTTACAACAATCCATGACGTCCGCCAATATGTTCTCATCATGCGCCGCAAACCCAAGAAAAGTAGTATAAACGCTGCTTCTACCAGGAAGCCATTTGCCAAGAACGAACACCGTAAACTCCTACCGATACCGGAATTGATATCTGACTACAACCAGTTTATGGGTGGGGTTGACATAGCGGACTAGCTAAGCAGTAATTATCCTACCCATCAAAAGAGCCGGAGAACATGGCTCGCTCTCTGGTTATACCTAATGGACACCGCAATTGGCAATTTGCACGTACTAGTAATTGATAGAAACATCAACCCGCAACGGTCCCACAAAGAGTTCAGACTTTTTATATCCAAGGCTCTGGTAGCATCTGGCTGGGAAGAACTCAACCCCAACAAGCTTCCGCAAGTTCCAAAATCTCAATCATACGTTACAAAGATGACCGTACTTCCACCCGCGCAACTGAGGTTTTATGGGGACTATTATGAGGAAAAGGGTTCAAGGCGCGAGTGTTGGTATTGCAGGTACAAGAAGCTGAATGGAGACCCGAAGAACCCGCCTCCAGCAAGACAAAGGGAGGAAATATTAAAGGCACAAAAGGTTGGGTTCACAAAGGTTTGGTG